GATTGTACTGTACAATTAAATACAATCGTTGCTTATTAGTCTGCAGTCTGAATTCACTTTGCTTCAGAGCGTCCATTAACTGAATGAATTGAGAATATCATCACCTGAAAATCCAGTAACATCAGCCATTTTCATTCAACCAGCTGATTTCTGTAAATAAATGTAATCTTTAATGTATATTGCTGTCAACTTTAGTCGTTTAGTCGACTAATCAGTCTTGGTCGACTGACATTCTTATTGATGCATTTACTTATAGAAAGAAATTTATAATGATTTACTCCTTGATATTTATTCCTTTATACGCAGGTATACGTATATTACTGTATTCTAAATATAATTAGCCTATGTTTTATCCCCAACTTTAAATACTTTAATTTAGGCTATTTTTGTAACAGCGCCACAGTTTAGCGCACACACATAGAACACTCGGTTCGCACCTGTGGCTGGCTGCACTGCTGCTGCACGCTCAGTAAGGGATATAGTTTAGCTGTATTCATTCAGTTAGAACGCTACTTGTTTTGGTTTTTATGTTTTTATACACAATATGTTTTTATCTCGATGCGGCGTGGACGCACTTGGAAAAAGAGCGCGTCATCTTTATCATGCTGACTCAATAGATTGTGTTTTCTTGATATGTTTTTGTTTTTATTTGTACACTTTACGCATTCGAAAATAGCCTAAATAATATAACAAAACGAAAATAACCTATATGCGGTCCTACAATACAGCTAATTATTATTAGGATTGTTTTTTGGGCTTTTGTTTTTTTGTGCGTTTGATTTAAAACGCATAGATCGGCTGGACAAAAGTTAACCCATAGCATTGAAAGTAAAGAAGAATATACAGCCTGTATAACGAGAGCTTTTGTTAGGATTTTTCATTATGTGGCAGATAGCAATTTTTTGTAGCGTGTAGCAGTGGTCAGGTGCGCGATTGTTAGGACAGAGCTCCTCACTTTGCAGTTAAAAAAAAAAAATCACTTAATTTGCAAAGAATTCTATTATTATTATTATAGTTTTATGTATTTTTGATGTTTTTTCGTTTTTATTTTATAAATGCTCTATGACAATTGTTAAAAAAATGTTCAATCACATCATCCCGTCGACTAGCCTAATCGTTGGGCAGGACAAGACTTTGGTCGACTAAGGATTTCTTTGGTTGATTACAGCCCTAATTGCTGCGCAGGGTGAAGTCAGTAAATACATAACAACGATTTGAAACAAATAATTTAAATTAAATATAAAACTATGTAACCTAATGGTGCTGTGTGGCGCGGCAGGATTTTGAACAAGGTCCGAGAGCAGCTATTTTTATGCGTTCAACATAGTGAGTGACTGCTTAGGGAAGCACACGACGGCGGTAGATGACTTATTAAATTATTTATATTGAAAGTACGATCGTCTGATCGATACAGCCTACCCTGGACAGCTGCTGACAAAAAGTGGAGCTCTTTACAGCAAACTCTCTCGTTCTCGCTTGGCATTGGCCACTGCCGCAGACACCATCTATTTTGCCCCACTCTCGCTTCTTCAACTCTCTGATAATCTTAATTTTCATGTAACTCTTGAGTATGCCTATCGTTTTCCGCGTTATTCTCTTGATTTAAGGGTTCAAACTGAAAAGGCTGAACGGCAGATGTGTTCATCTCGCTACTGTCAAAACTGGGCTAGCAACAACCTATACACGTCACTACCCAGAATGCATTGAGACGTAAATAACTATAGCGGCCTACGAGTGAACAGATTTGACTTTTTTTTTATTAAAACCAAAAACATTGAGTGTTTTTGTATCACCTTTTTATAGCTGACGCCCACGTTAAGGCCAACATGCCTCACTAGTCGGGGTACCCTTTAAGGCGCACCGGATTATGAGGCGCATACTGCAGTCAAATGTTTGACTGGGTTTGCGTTATGCATCCACTAGATGTGCTGGGAATGTAGCGAGTGCGCGGCACCGGAGGTGAGGCGTTTATGTGAGCGTGCTGGGGCGGACACGGAACTTACATTCGCAGCCTGACTCATATAAGTTCAATGTACGGCGGCTCGCTGACAGCAACGGTTGGCTGTTTTGAATGAGACGACCTGGTTACTGTGAACGGGGAGCGCTTGATGAACATTCTGTGACGCGCGAGCAGCGCCGGGGACAGTGTGTCTGTTTGTGTGTCTGTTAAGAGTGAGCACTCGTGAGCGGTAGACACACATAACCTGATTTATACAAGGTTGAACTGGCCGTGTACTATTCGACTATAACGTTCATAGTCGAATCAGACCCCTACGAATCGAATCGTCAAATCCTCGACTATTAGAAGTCAGCCCTAGATTAAATATATGCAGATACACAGTGCTGATTCATGTTTAGAGCACAAGAGTACATGAAATATGTCCATAACAACTTATTGTTGCGTGCTCCATGAGTTGAGTTGTTTGTGTTTTTAGTGATGAGTCTGTTCACATCTCAAAAAACTTTGTTTTGGGGTTCATGACCCTTTAAAGGGCCGCTGACATGGGGCTATTTTATTATTTTATAATGTTTTCTGGGTTGTCCTTATAATGCTAGTAAATTTTTAGATGAAAAATAGTCATAATTGAGAAATAAAAGGCATTTTTCCCAGCCTGATTTTAGCCTCTGATTTGAACGCTCTGTTTGAAGGGGTGTGTCTGCTGTGTGTAACCGGACACTGCTGTGATTGGCTGACATGCTTGCATATGAAATAGTAACATATTCCATGTGAAACTCTCTCGAATATTTTTACTACAGCTATTATACGTTTTTACTATTTCAGCTATCAAGATTAACGAATCATGAGATGTTTCTAAAGTATATAGATCTATTCCCATCACATTAAATGTTGTCGTGATGAGCACTGAGCAAGCAGATGACAGTCTATTTACTGCGAGAATGAAGATCTTCTCATTGCAACGCAGATTCTGCACTCTCTCTAATGCTTCCACCAATGCAAACACGATGTACAACCCGAATTCCGGAAAAGTTGGGACGTTTTTTAAATTTGAATAAAATGAAAACTATACGACTTTCAAATCACATGAGCCAATATTTTATTCACAATAGAACATAGATAACATAACAAATGTTTAAATGGAGAAATTGTACACTTTTATCCACTAAATGAGCTCATTTCAAATTTGATGCCTGCTACAGGTCTCAAAATAGTTGGGACGGGGGCACGTTTACCATGGTGTAACATCTCCTCTTCTTTTCAAAACAGTATCAAGACGTCTGGGCATCGAGTGTCTGAAGTTTTGGTGTTGGAATTTGGTCCCAATCTGGTCTTATATAGGTTTCCAGCTGCTGAAGTGTTCGTGGTCGCCTTTGACGCATTTTTCGTTTAATGATGCGCCAAATGTTCTCTATAGGTGAAAGATCTGGACTGCAGGCAGGCCAATTCAGAACCCAGAGTCTTCTACGACAAAGCCATGCTGTTGTAATAGCTGCAGTATGTGTTTTTGCATTGTCCTGCTGAAATACACAAGGCCTTCCCTGAAATAGACGTTGTCTGGAGGGGAGCATATGTTGCTCTAAAACCTTTATATAGCTTTCAGCATTCATAGTGCCTTCCAAAACATGCAAGCTGCCCATACCGTATGCACTTATGCAACCCCATACCATCAGAGATGCTGGCTTTTGACCTGAACGCCGATAACACGATGGAAGGTCTCCCTCTTCTTTTGTCCGGAGGACACGGCGTCCGTGATTTCCAACAAGAATGTCACATTTGGACTTGTCTGACCATAGAATACTTATCCACTTTGAAATAGTCCATTTTAAATGAGCCTTGGCCCACAGGACACGACGGCGCTTCTGGACCATGTTTACATATGGCTTCCTTTTTGCATGATAGAGCTTTAGTTGGCATCTGGAGATGGCACGGCGGATTGTGTTTACCGACAGTGGTTTCTGGAAGTATTCCTGGGCCCATTTAGTAATGTCATTCACACAATCATGCCGATGAGTGATGCAGTGTCGTCTGAGGGCCCGAAGACCACGGCATCCAATAAAGGTCTTCGCCCTTGTCCCTTACGCACAGAGATTTCTCCAGTTTCTCTGAATCTTTTGATGATGTTGTGCACTGAAGATGATGAGATTTGCAAAGCCTTTGCAATTTGACGTTGAGGAACATTGTTTTTAAAGTGTTCCACAATCTTTTTACGCACTCTTTCACAGATTGGAGAGCCTCTGCCCATCTTTACTTCTGAGAGACTCTACCTCTCTAAGACATCCCTTTTATAGCTAATCATGTTACAGACCTGATATCAATTAACTTAATTAGTTGCTATAGATGTTCTCCCACCTGAATCCTTTCTAAATTTATTGCTTTTTTTACCATTTGTTGCCCCTGTCCCAACTATTTTGAGACCTGTAGCAGGCATCAAATTTGAAATGAGCTCATTCAGTGGATTAAAGTGTAAAATTTGTGTATGTATGTATATATGTATATAGATAAAGTTGTCCTCCGAAGAGGGGGGGTGGAGGTGGGTGGAAAAAAAAATAATAAAATAAAAAAAAATGTGTAAAATTTCTCCGTTTAAACATTTGTTATATTATCTATGTTCTATTGTGAATAAAATATTAGCTCATGTGATTTGAAAGTCATATAGTTTTCATTTTATTGTTGACGAGACGGGAATATCTGACGGCAGACATCGTGAACAATGTTTCTATGTGCAGTTTGTCAACATATAACATGAGACGTCGTCTTTTTGTCTAATAACTGTACCTAACATTAGTCGTTCGCGGTCAAAACACTGGTATAAACACAGTTTGAGCCTGTTAAACTTGAGCCAACCAACCCTGTGACGTCAACTGCACAATGGCGGCGAAAGATACAAAGTTTTTTCTTTTTTTCTTCTAAATGTTTACATTTGTAATGTTCCTTTTATAATTGTTGATTATATTGGAAATCCATCTTGTAAATCATGTAAACTTGATTCATCGCTTCATTTCCCCTTTAAGGCTGATATGGAAGTACTTAAATCACTGACCACAAACTTGACGGAGTATGTGTAGGGAATTTTGAGTTCTCCAGTGAACTTGTTGCCCAGGCTCATGGGAGGTCCTGTACAGTCTGCTTTGTCTGGGTTGGTGTGCTTAAAGCTTTCAAAAGAAATAGAAACATACTCCATTTTTACATATTAACCTTTATAAATATGATCATCATAATCCTCAATTTGACAATTAGTTATTTAAATATATTGTTGTGCTTTTTGTTAAATCTTAATGGGCTAAACAGTGATTTCCTCTGCAGCCTTATTTTTGGTTTAATTTTTTTGTAGAGCCTCAAATACCTTTTGGGCTCTAATTTAGCAGCGACCAGTCTGGCACCAGCAGCCTCGGTTTCCACCTTGTGGTAGAAGATGGTAATGTCCACATGGTTGAAGATGTAGAAGGTGTCTTTGTCATTGAAGTCAGCCTGTGTAAAAATGACCATTTCTTAAACAAGTTGCATTAAACTGAACACTCAACATAAGACTTAGAAAAAATAATGAGAGTGAAGTAATGAAGTTTTACACACATTGACCACACAAGCATCTTTGGCCCGTCCCGATTCCGTGACATAGCAACCAATGGGGAAACCAGGATTACAGAACTTCTGATTGTCCTCCACATCATAACACCAGGTCACTGGCATATTATCAACAATCCTGAGAGAAACAAATAAGTCATTAGATGCTATGCTTCTTTGTCGTTCTGTGTTACTGCTGGAAGAGGAAAGAGACTGAGTGAATGCCTTACCAGTGATGTTGGTAATTGAGGAGCATTCCCTTTTTGAGGAAGTCCAGTTTGGCTTTATCATCCGATTTGTCTGTTTTGTAAGGTTTAACACAGACAGTCTTGCATTCTAAATTTTTGTTGAAGGAAAACTAGAAGAAAAAAAGGATACTCAATAAGGGGTGGGAATCTTTTGGTACCATATAATTGTTTTTTGAGGTCACAATTCTATTAAAAATCGATTCTCAATTTTGAATGAAATTGTATTTGATATCATAGATAGATTTTATTCTAGTTTATGGTTTGGTGTTACTTTTCCTATTTAAATGTGGTAGACAGTTTAATAGGTCTTGAAGAAAAAAATCCCACTGAATCAAATGTGAACCTTTTATTCAACTCAATTTTATAAAACAAATGCCATTAAAGGAGCAGTTCACTTTTTAAAAAAACGTATGCTGATAATTTACTCACCCCCATGTCATCCAAGAGGTCCATGTCATTCTTTCTTCAGTCGAAAAGAAATGAAGGTTTTTGATGAAAACATTCCAGGATTTTCTCCATATAATGGACTTCAATGGGAGGTCTAAATGAGAGTTTCATTGCAGCTTCAAAGGTCTTTAAACGACACCAGATGATGAATAAGGGTATCATCTAGCAAAACGATTGGTTATTTCAAAAATAAATAAAGTTTAAATTTATATATGCTCAAATGATTGCCTTGCTCTATTCTGTGATGAGCGTTTGTGACTCTCCTGTTCAAACTCGTTCATTAAAATGAACAAACCTTTTTTCGAGTCATGACTCGAAGGGTCCTAGATAAGACCCTTATTCATCATCTGGTGTCGTTTAAAGGCCTTTGAAGCTGCACTGAAACTGTCATTTGGACCTTGAACCGCTTGGTTCCCAACAAAGTCCATTATATGGAGAAAATCCTGGAATGTTTTAATCAAAAACCTTAATTTCTTTTCGACTGATGAAAGAAAGACGTGGACATCTTGGATAACATGGGGGTGAGTACCTTATCAGCAAAAGTTTTTTTTTAAAAAGTGAACTACTCCTTTAAGGTGTCTGCAATCATTACACACATGAATGGCAGTCTCCTATAATAAAGCAAGGCAGGCCATTTTATTTTTTATTTTAGAAATAGGAAGAAAGAAGCAAATTACAAACAATAGGACAAATACAAAAAAAAAAGTTTTTCAGGTACAGTAGCCTAGATTTATTTAACATGTAGTAAGAAATAGTACAAGTAAATAATCAAATGTAAAAATAAAAACACACAGTCTTCACTGTATGAATTAAATATAAATTGATGCATATTAAAGCATAGACTGTAAAAAAATATGGACGTAGTATCCGTGACGTCACCCATAGGTTTCTGAAGAGCGTTTTTGAAGCCTAAAGTGGGCGGGGCCGGCCGTCGCCATCTTGGCAGTGCGTCACCTCTCGTCACTACCGGATAAATTAAAATGGGCAAAGAGGCAGAACGTGGGTGGAGCTGAGGTGTTAATGCTATGCTACTGCCCTCGTGCTGAATTGACAGCTGATGGAAAAAGTAAAGCCAATGCATAAAGTTCATGTTTTTGCCCTTCGAAATATTATAATAGTTAAGACGTAACTAAAAGTGAGACTACTTTACTTTTTTATCAACTTTATTAATCTCACAAGGGGCAATTAGTTGAGAGCATGTATTCAAGTACATGACACAAATCACACACATTTCACACACTCACAACATTCAAGCAGTCAACTATGTGTTCAATGAAATAATTGATTATTATTCTGCTAGTTAAAAATGAATTAGTTACTTACAATATTGCTCTAAGCTTGTGCATGTGACAGTGATTCAAAGCAAGCACATGTCAGTCGGCATCTCACGTCAAGTTCGTAAAGAGCTTTATTCAGTCCATTTTACAATCTGATTTTGGCCACCAGCTCCTCAGATGGGTCAAACCAAAGATATTATATGGACGGAGAGAACGCACTGATATCATCAGACATCCATTAGTGCATGCGAGGGAAACAGCTGGAAACACAGCGCTGGTTGTTCTCTCCATACTCAACACGACGGAATCCAACGGCGTACACGGGCGAAGGTATAATACATGTATTAAATTGTATGAAATAATCCCAGAAAAAGCACAAACACAGCTGAGGGTGACGCTAACAGACAGCAGACAAACGACTAGCAGTGAAAGCGGCGGCAAGAATCCACCCGTCACTCAAGTGGCCACACCCTTAATTATGCAGAAATATAAGGCTTAAATATAATTTAAACAGATGAGTTGTAAAAAAATTCACCCCCCTCACAGTCATCATGAAGGGCAAAATTAGTGATACAGACCAAAACAACTATTTGCCACCAGGCTGTAAACATGTTTTTTTTTTCTGCTGTGAAGTTAGACATTTTAACTTGGTGGAGATACAGATTTGACTCGCTTTTGCAGCCAGCCTCATGCGGCCACTCGATGAATTGCAGTTTAATTCACTTCCGTGTTGGCTTCAAGAGAGAGACGGGGAGGTTGCCCCTTGTATTAAAGATACAAAAGTGATGAATTTTCATTTACGCATTTGCTTTTATCACACGCTTTTTTCCCAAGTGACTTAAGTTGCACTTAAGGTATACATTATGATCTAGGTGTTGCTAGTATAGGAAAACTGTGTAATGTACCTTATATGGAGACGGCTCAATTCTTTCTCCAAACAGCACCTGACCCAAGTTCTCAGATGGACGCTTCTCTGCCTCATCAGCACAAAAATCAAACCTGAAAGATTAAAAATAATGAAGTATAAAACTTTGTGGACACAGTTAACTATCAAAATAAACCAAACACAACATGTTTTAAATAGCAGTTATAACAACACTAAATCTACCACTGCAGCACTTCTGAGATGGATTTCTTGTTTAATAATTTATCAGGTGATATGTTTAAACTGAGTTAAAAAAAAATTTGTCTGTCAATATTCTCTATTCAGTTGACTACTGAGTGTGGCCATTTTAAAAGGATTCAAATTCTTAGAGAACAACTTTATTCGCTGTGTTTATTTATAAAATGTATGCTTGGGAAATAAATAATTTAACTGAAATTAACCCAAACAATAAAACCTTAAAGGGATAGTTCACCCAAAAATGAAAATTCTATCATTGTTTATTCACAATCAAGTTGTTCCAAACCTCTATGTGTTTATTTGTACTGCTGTACACAAGGCAAGATATTTGGAAGAATGTTTTAATCAAACAGATCTCAATCCCCATTGACTACCATAGTATGTATTTTTTTCCTACTATGGAAGTCAATGGGGATTGAGATCTGTTTGATTAAAACATTCTTCCAAATATCTTCATTTGTGTTCAGCAGAACAAATAGAGGTTAGGAACAACACATAGATGTTTGGATTGGAATAACTTGAAGGTGAGTAAATAATGAAAGAATTTTCATTTTTGGGTGAACTATCCCTTTAATGAAGCTTTGAAAACAATGAAACATTGTCTGAGAATTCTTTTTTTTGTATCACCGTAAGATCTATTGCATCACAGTAACAAGATATGTACAGTTTGTAACAAAGATGTTTCTGTAACATCTCAAGTGCTTCTCTGTGTAAATATTATTATAACATATTATCATATACTCTTTATAACTCTTGAATTTGTGGCCTAATGACAACTCTGTCATTATTTATTCACCCCCATGTCATGCCAAAGCTGTATGACTTGCTTTGTTCTGTGGAATGGTTTAACCATTCAATGGAATTCAATAACTGTAAATAACTGTTTGGATACCGAGATACTTCAAAATATCTTCTTTCCTTGAGCAGAACGTAAGTGTATTTTATTAAAAGAAAGCCATCATATGTGTGCTAGTATATGGGGGCAACAGTCTTGAGTCTTGACAAGTCGAACCACGAACGACGTGCCAAGTAAGCTGAACTGTATGAAGTTCAGCGAACTTCTGAACTGTGTGAACGGAGTTGTCGAGACTGTTTTCCAAAGATGGCTCCTCCCTGTATACACGAAGTGTGCGGTCTTTATAAAGTATCTTCTTAATAAACGGCCTGTACACTTACAAAGTTCTCAATGCTTCGTTTTGTATTTAGGGTCCCTCATTATATGACTGTGTTAGTGTGGGGCTATTTTGAGCCATGTTAGTGGTATTAACTAGCGATTTCCTTTAACTTATTAAATGCCCCCATATACTTATAAGCTAAACAGTTTTTAGAGATAAAAATCTTTACATTCGATTATCATTAAAACAAATCTCAGAGAACGGTTGACTAGGTACCAATGTTTTATTAGACCAAAGGTTGATTTTGCACCAGAGTTCTCCTTTAACTAATTAAAACTATTCAAATTAGTTTACATGAATTAAAATAAAGCTGAAACAAATTAAAAATAAATATTGTATTAAAAACAAGCTTTCATTTTTTTTTTTAACTGGAAAAACACTGCATTGGCAACCAACTAAAATAACATAAGTTTAAGTACTAAGTAAAGTAAAGAAATAAAGCACTAAGTTTAAGTAAAGAAATAAAGCTAAACGAAAATATTTTAAAAATAAACACAAAATTACTTAAAATGAAAATTGAAAGTATAAAAAATAAAGGTTGTTTATTAATAAATACTATAACAGTATAACACTACCCATCAATAACAAAAATTACAAATGTATTACTCACGCTGTGTATTCATAGGGCAAAACAGACTCCACAGAATCCAGTCGGTTCACAAACAGCTCAATGGACGACTGTTGAAAAGAGAAACAGTAAGGGTTAAAGCAATGTCCTCTGTATTTTCTCCTTTCCGTAAGGTGACAGTTTGAAATTGATATAATTTACTTTTTTTGACATGCAAGTATGCTATATTTCTGTCATGTGATGGCATCTATACAAAAACACATCTCTACATTATTAGAATAAACGGTTTAGAAGAAAAAACAACAAAAAACAAACAAAAAAAAAACAGTTTGGACCATAGTCTGGACCAAAATGTCAGTTACTACAGTAAAAACACATTCATATAGGATCTCCGACTCCTAGTGTAAAAAGGTTTTCTTCTTGATGATGGTGTCATCACCATTTTATTGTGAAGGATAAAAATATTAAGTTTTGTAAGTATTATATCTGGGTGGAAACTATGGCTACTATAATAATAGTAAGTTAGTAACAACTTAATAATAAGTTATTAAGGAAATGCATTTAGCAATCAAATTGTTCACTGAGTATGATGAACAACCCCCAAAGAAGAATGTGGAAATAAGGAGAAAAACTTCACACCCATTGAACCAGTTTCAATGTGGACAAACATGATATCACCAATGAGACCTGCTATTCCCCCACCCTTTATTTAAACAGACTATTGCATTGCCTACATACACAATTCAACAATAATATAATCAACATTGGGATTCATACAATTCATTATCATGCTTATGAAGACGATTTTAATTATAATTATTGTTGTGCACTCACACTTACGTTCAGTTTTGAAAATATTCTGGTTTACTTCAAAATTCTGCGGTGGAAGAACGTAATTCACTCAAAAATGAAAATCATGTTTTTATCACATACATTAAAAGTGAACCGAGGCTGCCAGTTGCTAACATTATATCAAATGTCTCATTTTGTGCTGTATGTAAAAATAATTTTCATTATTTAAGAGTCCTTTTACTATTCCTTAAGAGTCTAAGTAGAAAGTTTGTAAAAGCGTTAAAAAGGACAGGTTTAACGTTAGCTCATATCTTAAAGGCAACAGCGTTTCCACAACTAACACACATGAATAGCATAACGTTAGCGAGCATGCTCACGCAACATAGAGACTCACGACATCTCATACATTTTACCGAAATCGTTTATTGTGCTTTTTTAAAATTTACCTTGCAGTCTGGTACATCGATGTTTTTTTCATTAGCGTCTTCACAGAAGCTGACCGGGGCCAAACCAGGAAGATAGAAACTCAACGCGTCCCGCAGCGACCCGCACACAAAAAACACCAATAAGACAACACGGACATGGTGGAACACGACCATTTTGCTTTGACCGACCAAGTTAAATATTCAGTAGATATATTTACATGCGTAAAATGTAGATATGTGTGTCAAAATCCAGACATTGGTGATTACTAAGCACAAGAGCTAGCAAAACTGCTGCCTGCGTAGCAGCATCTGACTCCTCAGACACGTCATCCGTTACGAACTGCATGATGGGATAACGGAGGACTCCAATGGCGGAAGTGACATAGACGGGAAGAGAACGAGAATGTAGAAGTCACATATCTATGGTTAGAAGCCATCGCATGTCTATGATAAAATCATGTCAGAAAATGACATGCTCTGTAAATTAGATATTTTGGAATATTTCGTGTATACCTTATTTTTAATATCACCATTAATACAAGCCAATATTTTAATACACCCTTTTGTTAATATTTACTACCAATATAATGTAAGGGATATAAAATAAAAATATTCTGTCTGTAATAATATTTTATAGTCGTATAACAGAAAGCACTTTAAAGCAAGGTTGATACATACAAGCATCACAAAACCACATTTTCTTGAATAATCTTTTAATAAAACAAGGAACCACTAAGAACAAGAGTGCTGAAACGGGCTGATTAAAAATGTTTCAAAAAAGGGAGAAACAAGGGGAACAAAAGTTAGATGCACATAACAAATGCGGTTATTTTATTGAACATCTTCAGTACCCATTGTATATCTCACAAACATTCAGCAACCGTTTTTCACACATTTGACATAACAAAAGATTTCTCTAAAATAATTGTAAATGACACAGTTCCTTATGCAGTACATAGTTTTCACTTCTGATTCAAAGTTCAAGGGTCACGAAACCGACAGCATATCCACAGGCTAGTATTTCCAGTCTCTATGATTCTGTGGTTCTTCAGAGGTTTATGGCAGCAATCCTCCATCAGAGCTGATTTAAAAGCAGTTTCAATGTGTTACAATAATCGTTGATAGTATGGGTTAATAGTGATCTGAGATCAGTTCTTTCAGACTGTACTCACTGAGCGTGCTCAGGAGACGCACAGCTCTGCTGGTGTGCTGAGCTGTTGGGCTGCAGAGGGGGAATCAGTCTTCTCCTGTCCACTCAACTGGCTGGAAGCCATTTTCTTTTTGAAGAGACGCAAACTCAGTTGCACAAGTTCATTGTCCACCACTGGAGCGCTGGTGTAGATCTGCTTGGTTGTGCCCTATACAAGGAACACAGAAGCATTAAACCAAACACTGAATCATGTACACCTTTTAATGATTAGCAACGCTTCACTGATACATTCCACACAAATAGCACCTCTCACAAAATGAGATTTATAAGTTTTGTTCGTTGTTGTTGATGAAATAAATTAATGCCTTTATTGAGTGGTTATAAAATTCATCAAAAGTGATAGTCAAGACTGTCAAATAAATGCTTTTGAACTGTCTATTTATGAAAAAAAAAAATCCTGAAAAAATATTAAGCACAGTGATGTTTCTTGAGCATCAAATCAGAATGATTTCTGAAGGACCATGTGACACTGAACAGTGGAGTAATGTTGCTGAAAATTCAGCATTACCATCACAGGAATAAATTATAATGTAAAACACATTCAAATAGAAAACAGTTATATTACTGTAATAATATTTCACAAAATTACTGTTTTTACTGTATTTTTGAGCAAATAAATGCAGCTTTAATGAGAATAAGTGACTTCTTTAAACTGTAGTGCATATACGTGACTTTGCGTTACACAGCCTTTTTATCTCATCATGTTAAATTTAGCTTGGGTCTGAGAGTTCTTTGCAGCTCAAATGGCACCTATTATGCCCCTTTTTACAAGATGTAAAATAAGTTTCTGATGTCCCCAGAGCTGAAACTTCACATACAGATATTTTTTATAGCATGTTAAAATTGCCATTTTTTTGAGGATGAGCAAAAACAGGCTGTTTTTGTTTGTGTTTATTTTAATGCAAATGAGCTGCTCTCAGCCAACATTTCAAGAAGGCGGAGCTTCAAGCACTCATTCAACAAACAAATAGGATAATCTCAGATGCACTGAAATGTCAGCGGAGTTCAGTTCGAACTGGAGTCGAACGACAACCTACAGAGTCAGCTAATGTGTATGGAGATAGAACAGGCATAGTTTATAGTTTAGTTTAATTATGGTTATAACTTATGCTGTCATCTTGCTTCCATCTACTACAAGCCTGCTGTAGAGGACAGCGTCCAAATGATGGCCAAAACTTTACTTGCGCTCTTTTATGAAGTTTATTGTACATCACACAAAAGTCGAAGTGACCGTTTTCACTCCCTCCGTTTTCACTGAAAAAAAAAAAAAAAAAAAAAATCACAGTACCGTATTTTCCGCACTATAAGGCGCACCTTCAATGAATGACCTATTTTAGAACATTTTTCATTTATAGGGCACACCGGATTATAAGGTGCATAAGATACTGCAGTCACACGTTTGACTGGGTTTGCGCTATGCATCCGCTAGATGTGCTAAAGGGAATGTAGCGAGTGCAAGGCGCCGGAGATGAGGCGTTTATTAGTGCGAGCGCGCTGGGGCAGGCACGTAACTTACATTCGCAACCTGACTCATATGAGTAGCTATTGTGCGGCGACTCGCTGACAGTAACAGCTGGCTGTTTTGAATGAGACGACCCGGTTGATGGGGGGGGGGGGGGGGGGGGGGGGCTTTATGAACATTCTGTGATGCGTGAGCAGCACTGGGGACAGTGTGTCTGTTAGTAAGAGTGAGCGCTCGTGAGTGGGCACATAACTTACACACACATAACCTGATTTATACAAGGTTGAACTGGCCGTGTGACAGACCGGGCATAAGATGGACACGAGCACGAGTTCGCGGGTGAATTTAATAACGCAGAGTGTTGTTAACCAATTGATCCATATATAAGGCGCACTGAAGTTTTTGAGAAAATTAAAGGCTTTTAAGTGCGCCTTATAGTGCGGAAAATACGGTAAGAGCGGAATAAAACAATAAAGAAGTGCGCATTAAAGTTCTTAACCATAAACTCCCTCTCTCTTGCATTATCATCAACATACACAGTGAATTACACAAAACCACTTGTTACAACTAACAGTAAACAAATATATACAGACTGTATGCCTTTTCGCGGGGTGTTTAATAAACTGGTAAACTTTATATCTGTAAAACAACTCCGATGAACAGTAAATAAAGTGTGTGCGTGCTGTCCCTTTTATAACTGCCGTGATGCTCAGATGTCAGGAGTAAATGAAGCCATGTTCACTCTTACATCCAACAACAAAACATCTCAATCGCTTAGAAGACATTCATGTCTACAGCTGCTTTGGTGCCGAAAAAATGGCGGACTGTATCAGCTCACTCGGGGTGGGTCTACGCTAAAACTGCAGTGTCAGTCAACAGTCGTGGGAGGCGCTTGTGCAAAAGTACGTCACATTGCCCAGAATCTGCAAACACCTTGTTGAGAGACGGCGCTTATGATTTATGGGGATTAAAAAAAAATAAAAAAGAACTGGGTGAATTTTTATCATTATATGGTGGTTGTGTACACACACTGCCAACACACATTTATGCTCAAACAAATTTTTGCATAATAGGTGCCCTTTAAAAGTGGTGTAGGAAACACCAGATGGAAGTTTTTATATATACTCTTCAGTATTTAAATGAAAAAAATATATTTAATAAAATACTCATAATTGCAATTTCTCTAAATTCTTTCATTGATACCTTGAAAATCCTGACTAGGTAGATAGTTCCAGAATGGAGATCCCTTTATCAATACAGTTTCACAAAGCCCAAGTTTTACAAAGGAGGTGCCCCCAATTAAAGACCATAAGAGCACCTTGTCATTTTTCAGGAGCTGTCTACGTATGGCAATGTCTCGGCGAGCACACAGCGCCTTGCAGCAAGGGCCCAGGGTCCTGAGTAGGTTGGCCCTCTCCATTCGTCTGTTGTATGCAGCCATGTTCAGAGCACCCAGATCATGCTCTAAGAGTTTATCAGCATCTAAGGATTCATATTTTGAGATTCAAGTCACTTCTTATATACTCAAATTTATATAACTACCATTGATTACCACATAAATAGTTTTCAATACATCTACTATGAGTAGATCTATATTAAAACTGGAGCATTCATTGAAATGTAGATTTGCACATTCACCTTTAGGGTCTTCCAACTCTCTGGAGCACACTTCTTTAACTCTGGAAAGGAGCTGAGGCCCAGCTAAGCGTCTGGACACTCCTGCTCTGAGGAGCACAGCCCCTGGGGTAAACCGCAGCAGCGCTGCCCCAGGAGTTCTGGGCTCCTGTTTTTGCTTGGGCATCAAACTGGACCAATCTACATCAATGACATCCAGAGGCCCTGAAACAGAATATGCAAATGATATGAGATGGTCATTACATAGTTTCTGCTTATGGCTTTGTCAGTGTGTGTATTAGTCTGTGAAATAGGAATCTGTGTATGCTTTTAAAAATGTTGTTTTTCTTAATTTTATTTAAAGGCACTCTATGCAAGATCTGTACCTTAATATAACAGCTTCAAAGTCGTTTTGGTGGTTAACAAAGTCATAGTAGGGCGAATCATCCTGGTAGGAAAGCTTGGGGGGGACGCCGCCGGAAAAACCAGCCATGCAAGTTTGAGAGTGGCGCCCCTGACACAGCGCGTGAGAATCACGAAATGGTTTACGGCAACGACGTCACACGCATCAACAACATCATACTGTATGAAGCTACTTTCGAAACAGGGAAAGAGAATCGGACCGTGCTAGAAACCGGACAAGAGTCCACTCGGTCGGGCTTTCACTCGTTGGCGCGAGCTTAAAAGCTGCACTGGATTGTAACTGCGATGCTGACCTGGCGATCTTGTTGATGGACTTGTAAGTAAATCTCTTATTTATAAACTTGTTTGTATTTGTATACTAGTTGTTTCTATATTGTATGTTGCTGCACTGGCTTGTGGTATGTAATTTTTTACGGTGCTGTTCATTCATCCGTTGTTGATAATAAGACCAGTTCAATAATTCTCACATATGTCTATGGCTTTCGATTACCAGAGCTTTAAGCAGACTTCCTAAAAACAGTCGTTTCTCTTAGTCTTGTTGTTTTTTCCGTTATGTTTTATTGCCGAGCTTGCCACAAGAGCTAGTTTGCCAGCTGAACTCAGGTGTTGTGATGTGTATTTATCACG